CTAAACTCATTGAAAACAAAGCCTTTACATTCTTGCCTATTCGGCTGGATTTGGGTGAGCCTCAGTGTCTTTCCCCATTCCTTGACCTATGTGGAGAAGCTTGGTGTCCCACACATTTGCATTGAACACAGTATCTCCTGAGATATTAAAAGTGTGTGCCTGTGAGAGTCAGAATTCATGCATGCAGCAGTCTGTGAGAGAACCTGGTTCAAAAGCACCATTGGAAAGGATCAGAAAGAGCTTCAGGCCATGGGGGAAAACTGGCTTTGATCTGGAGGAGTCTCACTGAATATGAATTGATGAAAGCTAATGTCTATATGCTCTTGTTTTCCAGGATACTGACAGTTGCTAGATCCTGATTCCTTAGCTTTTCTGGGTGGACAGGCAGGGGGACGCTGATTTATCTGACAGATACCATACCAGGTTCTGATTCTATCTTCATCATCACATTTTAACACAGGGATCCACGGAAGCAGCGGGCTGAGGAACCTCTTCTCAGGATGCCAAATTTCTCTGGCAGTAGACGTTTATGCTCAGGCCGGCTCTGTTGTCTTAATATCTGTACACAGGTCATGTTTGACTTCTAGTGGACAAAGCATAGACCCCGGGAGAGTGAGGCACACCTGGGGACATGAGGCCACAGAAAGGGCTCAGGTCACAAGGGTCATACAAAGATGAGGCAGCTGTGCCTTCTCCAAGGACCAGCCTGTTGAGCTTTCCTGTGGTCATTTCTGAAGAACACTGCCTCAGCAAAGGACAGCTTCCCCCAGGACCCTCCTGCAAAACAGAGGAGCCAACTGAAGTCTTTGGCTTAGGCTTTGCTATATAGTACTAATACGATAGGAACTCCGTTAATAACAAAATCAGCATGGTATGTTTTGTATTATACAAACTCCACACTTCTATTATTTATTATTTTTATAATGTGTATTGGTGTTTTGCCTGGTATCACCAATGTCCCTGGTGATACCAGGGACTAAGGAGTCCAGAAGGGGGCATTTGATCCCCTAGAACTGGAGTGGTAGACATTGTGAGCCACAATGTGGGTGCTGGAAACCAAACTTGAGTCCTTTGGAAAAGTAGCCGGTGTTCCTTATTGCTGAGCCATTTCCCCAGCCCTATAAATTACACTTAAAAAGCAAACAAAAACACTGGGTTTCGTGATCTTTCCTCTTTGTAAGAGGCCTATAAATTTTTCTGCTAACCCAATATAATCACACAGATTATTGGTAAAATGTAGTCTCAAGAAAAATTGCAGATTTCTGATTTGAAAATAAGTATCAGTAGAGATATGTGTTTTGCCTAACCTGGAGCTCATATGTAGCCAGGCTGGTCTCAGCCTCTTTGGTCCTGAGGTTATACGTGTGCTCCAGTGCACTCAGCTCGGGTTTTAGACCACCGTTGACTATGGGTAACTCAAATTTCAGAAATTAAAGTCATCCATAAAAAGGGACCACCATGTGTCTTTCTGGGGATGTGTGTCCTTACATCACAACCTCCTTGTGTAGAGGCTTCCAGAACCCCTAGATAACACTGGGAACTATGATGGGAATTCCAGATACTTTACATACTTAGCCTGAATTCCTTGAACTAATCTTTGTGGCAGTAAGTCAGGCACGACCCCTACGGTGTGGAGAGTGGGACCGTGGGAGTGATGATCTCTCAACATGTGTCCTGTACAAAGGGCAGGGTGTCAGAGAAACAGCCCCGTTGTCTTACATTCCTAAGATCTTAGACAAGCGTTCATAGTTCATCGGAACCCCTAAGGGCATTGGGTGTTTTCTGGATATGAAAATTTTCATGAGATACTACTTACTGCAGAACCAATGCAGGAATGGGCCGTCTGCTTTAGCGGAACAGACTGCATGCTCTCTGCCTCTTCTGACTGCTGACTCTCCCGCTTTGTGGGTTCACTCTTTGCCCCTATTTAATCATCCTTTAGGGCCACTGCTCCTCTCGTTGTCACCTCAGCTCTAGTAACCTTCTTTACGTGGACAATGGCCAGTCATAGGCCAAGCCCTATGTGTCTGGTGGACAACAGCCAGGCATAGACCATGCCCTATGTGTCTCTGGCTTCTTGCCTTGGGCTTCTCTGTAGATGCCTGTGGGGATCTCCTGGGTATGTGTGAGCAGTAGCCAAAGTGCCTGAGCATCAGGGGGTAACCACTTCCCCTTCTGATCTCCCTGAGGACAGTCTCACAGTACATTTCAGGCCAAAGGTCAGCTCCGTAGGTGTCTGTGGCTCTTTCCTCATGCCTGCCTGTGAGTCAGACTATGCCTCCCTCCGGGGTTTACCAGTCAACAGGCACCATTTCTTAGGTGACAGTCTTGAATGATAGGTGCGTGGTAAATATCTTTGCAAAAACTTAGCAGAACACACTTCTGCAGACGACAGCAAACTCGGGTCTTCAGCTTTGTGCAAAACCCAAATTCCCCTGTTAGTTCTCAGCATCCTAATGCTCTCCTTGCTCCCCACATGCAGCTGCCTTTCTTCCTAAGCCATTCTTCCTCCTCCTCCTCCTCCTCCCCCTCCTCCTGGCTCCTCCTCCTCCTCCTCCTGGCTTGCTAGTGAGTCACTTGTTTATGTTCCTAACTGGGGAGATAAACCGGCTGCAGGGAAGGGAGAAGTGAGAGGCAAGAAGAAGCTATGTTGGAGGGAAAGCATGCTCATGCCAGGAAGACGCAGTGTGAGAAGGTGGAGGAGCTGGAAGGGCTGAGGGCCGAGTCCCACTGCAGCCTGGCTTTACCCCTGGCCTATCTGCCCTCGACAGGCGTCAAACCACGGGAAGAGAATATCTAAGTTAGAGCAGATGATGTGTGGCTATACATAAACACTCCAAAAGTAACTTAGGGAGCAGGGAGATCTCTTCCTGACCATGGGAGGCACTGCCAATAAGCTGGTAGTCCCGAGAAAGCTCATATAACAGAATTTTAAACATCCTGGAACCTAGAGGAATATTGTCCCAATCCCTGTCTGTTCTCTTGGCCCATTCCCTCCTGGAAACATCATTTGATGCCACTTTAATGTCTAATGTTCCCTCCGGTATCTCTCCTCCGTGAGGATTAAGCCTCAACCACTTGACCCTTTCCATGTTGTACTTTTGTGTGACCCTTATGTACTGGAGCGCGCCAATCAACTTGTAGCCCCTTTCTCCTGTCAATCTGATTTCTGTTACTTCCTTTTGTAAGACCCCTGGAAGCTCAGGCCTCCAGGATCTCAGCCCAGGACCGCAGCCACCCCAATCACCAGGCGGAGTTGAAAGCTTGCTGCAAACTGCATGAGGCTTTATTATAGTTGTTTAATGAGCTAACCCCATGTTAGCTCGGGCCTTTCATCCACCCACCATGGTGGATGGCTAGGAAAGACACTGGGAAGCTCTGCATAGAGATCTTATAGGGCAGCATAAGGGGAGTGTCTAGGGGTACACACAGGCTCAGGATTGGTGTGGCTCCAGGCTTAGAGGGCTTGCCCTGTGTTGATTGGTCAACAGGTTGTTATGGCCCATAGGCCCTCCCAGGGTGGTTGCTATGCTCTGTGTGTCATTGCTGTGCACTTGTCCGTAAAGCACACCAAGAGCCGTAAAGCATAGCACCACCAGCTAACTTCTGATTGGTTCCTTGCCATGAGACAGGCACCTAACCTCCTAGTGACCAAGGCAAGGTCAGACAAGCACGTGTTCAGCTGTTATGGCTGCCAAAATGGGGAGCTGGTGCCTTCACTTTCAGCAAACTCAACAACTGAACTTGCAGAGAATCAGTATGAACTTCCCTGAAAAAAGCTTTCTAGTCTCTTTGTCCCCCAGGATCTTCTTGTTCCCCAAAGTTAAACTCTCCGGGCACCTTTACACTACAGTCAACAGCACAGCACTTGATGCCAGACAATCCCTATAATGATCAAAACCTTAACTGGCACTTCAAGTTCAACAACCTGAGTTTCCATTTTTCCTCCATCAAAGGAAATTGATGAGGAAATACGAGAATGGGGAAGCCAGGGAACAAAGCAAAAACTGCCTCTACTAGGAAGTCACTCAGGTGAGATGTTATAGAGGCAACCTCTAATGCCAATGCCCAGCTGACCCAAATATTCCCGTAGTGTTCTAAAGGCTTCAATTCCCACCTTTAAGAGTACACCACTCCACACCATGGAGTACCAAGACACTAACCTATCGCCACTACAAACTGCCTATCCCAAGTCAACTCTATCCCCTCTGAAGAAGTTATTTAAGCCTTAATCATCTTACCCTGTTAAGATAAATCCTTCTGCCAAAGGCCTGCCATGTGTGAGCTTTACGCCAGCCGCCCGCCCAAGTTAGGCCCAAATGAAGACACATAAAATTGTATTAGGTTCAAAGCTGCTTGGCCAATGACTAGGATTCTCATCTGTTAGCTCAGTCTTAACTATCATACATCTATATATGTTATAAGACTTATCTTATTGGACGCCTTATTGGCGTCCCTTCTTGCTGGTGGATCATATCCTGCTGCTGGAGGAGGCGAAGGGGAAAGAGGGCCCTTCCTGTTTCTCCTTTGCTTAAATATGATGCTCCTTGCTATGTCATGTCCTACCTGGATCAGCACATCTCTACTACATTTCCCAGAATCCTCTTTGACTCCTAGTCCTTGCTTGCCATTGGCCAAACAGTATTTTATCCAACAATCAATAAGATAAACATACAAAGAAGTACATTCCCCATCATTGCCCACTTTGGAGTTTCGTGTGTGTGTGTGTGTGTGTGTGTGTGTGTGTGTGTGTGTGTGTGTGTGTGGTGTGTGTGTGTGTGTGTGTGTGTCCATCCCATGTACCAACTGTTTCTCCAGAGAGACAAGGGTAGACAGGAAACCACAGGGTTGTGCTGGATGTTCTTACATTCCTTTAATTCTGTGGATATGGTTCTTGTTTTGTTTTACATCTCTGTCTCCATCCAAGCTGGAGGCAGATCAAAAGGATTCAACTGATCTTACCATTTCTTTTGTTTTAGACCCTAAAATCATAAGAATACCTTCTGAACAGTACCATCTGTGAATCTTCCAGTGGGTGTTCATGAATTTTCCATTCAACAAATTGTTGTGTCGAATGACTGGATTTACAGCTTTCAGAAACGCATGTTGCCTGTGATTTTTATAACACCTTCAAGATCTGGGGGGACATGCTAGTAAAAGTTGAGCTCCTGAAATTACACATTTAAGAAAGAGCTATGAGATCTTTTCTGTATGGAAAAGTATTTATAACTCATCTGCACTTGTTTCTTTTGGCTTAGGGGCCCACTCACTTGTTTTCAAAGCCTGTTTCAGACTAAAAATGTCTCTTGAATGAAGGAAGCAGGCATTCCAGGCATATGAAAAAGCTCCTTTATCCTGAGTGGGCAGTAAGGGAATCAAAATGTGCCCATAATCTTCAATAACAAAAAGTAACCATGAGCCATACAGATAACATCAAACTTCAGCATTGTTGACCAAATCCTGATGTTTCTCACTCTTAAGGAAATGCCAGTTAATAAATACGTGGGAGGAAGTCCTGATTCATCTTGCTGTTTCCATCATTTGGACAGAATGCTAGTAACAACTGTTTTGTTTCATTTCCTTTTCCACTCTCTTTTCCCTGTCTGATAAATTAAAGATTAGATGGGTACAGCAAGGCTATTCTGAGCTATCTACTCATATAAGCTACCAAAATTCACATGGCAAAAAGTATCTCCAGTCTACTGTGGACACTCAGTTTCCCCTTCCTGAATAAAACTGAGATAGAAATTTGTCCTAGAACCGTCTTCCCTCTTTGGACATTCATTGCTTTTTGTCCTGTGCTCTCTTTACTTGCCCATAGTCTCTGCTGTAAGTCCCCTGGACAGCCTGGAACCTGTGTCATCACTGAATGTTGCAATTTCCTAACACTCTCTAGACACACACACACACACACACACACACACACACACACACACACACACACACACGCAGTTGCATGGGATTACCGTGTACCACATACATGCAGAAGCCCATGGAGATCACAAGAGGACATTGGATACCCTAGAACTGGAGTCACAGATGGAACTAAGCCCAGACTCTCTGCAAGAGCAGTGAGCCATCTTAAGTGCTGAGCCATCTGGCCAGTGCCCTCCAGTTAATTTTAAAATGGAGGTGAGATGACAGCAAGCTCATGGGCTACCAGGAGTAACAGACACACAGAGTTAACATTACTGTGTCAAGATCCTCCCAAGTGCCCTCCAAAGATTGCTGCGTTTGATCTGCATGACCCCAGTGTCATTATTATCCCATAGCAAGGCAAATAACCTTACTCATGTATACTCATTAAGCAAATGCCAGGCATGGGGTACAGTCAGAACTGCCCTTGTAATGAAAACAATATCTATCCATTAAATCTGTAACACAATATAGGACTTAAATTCTTGTTCCCTGAGTGCCTATCAATTATCTTAACTTTTCATAGCTGTACTATATTCTTTATAATTCTACCCAGGCAGCAAGAGTAGAAAGCCACCCAGACACTAGACTATGTCCGGTGTTACCCTCATAGTCGCAGGTTCCTGAAAGTATGGTGGGTAAAGTCTCCCCAGGTAACGAGTTTACCATCCCCCTCCCCAGCACTGAAGTCTACACAGGATCAGGGAAGGCAGCATCTCTCTACCCTGCTCTGCAAATGTCTAATACATTTGAAGAAATGCAACAGACATCTGAAGAGTGAGGATGAACACACACACACACACACACACACACACACACACACACACACGTCTGTGCAATGCAACAGCTCCCTCCCTTTGATCTTTTCTCTCTTGCAAGTGGCTTTCTCCTCACTTCTCTTTGACGTGAGCCCCTGCCTGAACAAATCTCTGTAATCATCTCCTGAAGACCAATGGTGATTATTACAGAAGCAAACAGACAGACACACAAAAAGCTTAACAGAGGCCCAGCACAAACTACTCAACAAAGCTCTATAATTTTTACTGTTTTGTTTAAAACAACAAATGATCCAATGGACTTTTCACAATGCTAATGGCAGCAAAGCATAACCGTCTTCAATTGCTGAGTCTAAAACAGATGGATGGATTCCTCATCGTTTTCCATGTTAATCTACGCTGGTGAGGGGATTTGCTTTCTTATGTCTTTCCCAGTTTGCAACAGTGAATCTCTCATATTCTAACTAAATGTCTCATCTTGCAACTTACCTTAGAAAAACCTGGGGAAATGCAAGTTGCTGGAGGATGGAATGGAGCTCTGCCGGAGTCCCGAAATTTCTTTCTGTTTGTCGAGACAATTCTGAGGTCCGCATAACTTCATAGGTGTATTATTAGCACAAACGTTAGTCACTGGATGCATGACTCCACCAGCAGAGTGGGAGCTGGAGTTTCTGACTCACAAGGAATCAGAAAACAGACAACTCACAAAACCAAGTCTCAAGTAGAGTACCGCAGTCTTATTTTAGTCTTCAGGCTCCCACACTGCCTCTGACACCTCAGGGTGCTTCTGTCTGTGTCCACCACCACGCAGTCTGCAAAGCCAGCCATCCAAATTCCAGTAAGAGTAAGACAAAGCAAGTATGACAACCTCTATTAATTTAACTTAATTATTTTGGTATTCTACCTTGGTGCATACTTTAAAGAGCCCATAATGTATCCAGAGAATGATATATTTCATAATAGATGAGGATAATAAATGTACAGGAGAGCTGCAGAGAGACGGCTCAGCAGGTAAGAGAGCGTACTGATCTCGAAGTGGACCTGAGTTCAGTTCCCAACACCCATGGGGGGCTCCTCACAACCATCTGTAACTCCATTCCCAGGAGATCTGACTCCCTCTTCTGAACTCCGAGGGCAGATCCCCACACACAGTAAAACACATATACATGAAACTAAAAAACCTTAAAAACAAATAAACATGCATCAGAGATGTGTGCACCCAACAGCAACAAAACAAGTTTCATGGGATAAAGGGAGTTGGGTAGTCTAGTGGGCCAGCTGTGTCTGATTCACCCAGATGTGCTGTTGTTGGTAATTTGTCTCCATAGCCTGGGCAGAGTGGACTGCAGGACCCTTGTCAACAGAGCCTCCCTGTGTGACAGGGAGCAGATGATGAGGGTGGGGGTGGGCATAGCCTCTATGGGGTATGTGGCTATATATGTGGGGACCAGGTAACAGGAGGAGCACTGAGAAGAGGAGCCTTGGCAACGCATGGCGACCCATTCAATCTCAGTCTTCTTGAAAGGCAATTCTTTTGTAACTGAATTTCTTTGAAAAGGCAGGTTTCTACGGGAAATTGCAGCCAGTTATCTATGGAAAGAGCAAATGTCTATTCTGAGTTCTGAAACAGTTCAAATTCGCCAGCTTAATCTTTCCAGAGAATCTCCCATGTTGTCATTACACAGCAGAACATTCTGGAGACAGGAAGAGAGGAACTTGAAAAACCAAATCCTTGTATAGTGATTTTCAAATTCTTTGTCTCCATCTGCTTCTGTGGAGAGGAGAGTTGACACTCTCCCTGGATGTTTAGGGAGACGAAGCTGCAATCTGGCGTATGTCTGCTAGATGTCCATGGAGGCCTGTGTACCTCATCTTTCTGTGTTCGAAGGGTAGGGAGGTAGAGACAAATCTCTGCCCTAGGGAGTGGGCTGGAGCTAGCCAGGACAGGGTGCATTCCCCACTTTCCTTAGAAACAAAAGGCTGGGAAAATCAGTTAATTTGAGTGTTAACCATTTTCACTTGAGACTCAGACTTGTGACCATTTATAGATTCTGCCATTTTCTGCACTCAACTCATCTTGCTTGAAATCCCACTACTTGAGACAAAAAAAAAATCTAAATAAAAAGCCTTACTGGACCTTCATTTCTTTAGTAAAATAAGAAAACACCCAAGCTACTTTTACTTGTTTATTTATTTGTGACAAAAGATTTCTATCCCAATGAGAAATGTCTTATGTCTATGACACTGGCTTTTTATTTTAAATAAAAAGGAGAGAGCTTGCCACCGTTTTTCAAATGGAGTTTTCAAATGGAGTTCACCCCTTCTGAGCAGGCAAAGAGGGCAAGGTCAACAGTGAGGCTGGGAGTTTGCCTTTAGGCTCCCTTACCTTGCTTCTAAAGGTTGAGGACACAGCTCCAAATAAAAGCAAAATGTGTGGCAGAGCTTCTGATAAACACCTTTGAAATAAACTGGATTCTGTTCTGCAAGTTCATCTCCCCTCAGTGAACAGGAACACAGTAAGTCAAAAACTAAACTCCACTGTTCGTGGCATGCGAGGGCCATTCAGGAGGAGACAGAAACCATATGGTCTTCAGAGGGGTTGCTGGAAGCACAGAGGCTGTGTGGGGATCCGCCTAGATGGGTTCAGTCAGAAGTCTCTGCTATGGGACCTGAAGGGTCCCTACACCCTTGCTTGCATTATAAATTCTATTTCACCTTTCTCCATTTCCCGAAGCTTTGATCTTGCCTTCCTTCCAGGGAAAACCTTTTAGCATGTGCCGAGAGCCAGCTGCTTCCTTTGGCTGAGCACCTACAAAAACAGGCTGGCTGGAGGGCGGGGCGGGCAGGGTAGCTTCTCCCAGAAAAAGCTTCACATCTTCAGAAGTCAGCATGGATCACTCACCTAAGAAAGGGACTGATCACAAAAAGATGGCTTTCGCAGACTTAGGAGAGGCCACGCTGTCTCAGGATACAAAGGCAATTTATAGCCAGAAACTGTCGGAAAGGCCTAAATTTCCTCCTATAACTGAGTTAGAAAATGTATTATTTGGGGCATTTAGAGGTAATGTTTTGCTGTCCCTATACTACAAACAGGCCAGCCGTTTATGTTATCAAACATTCTGCAGACTGGGCCTCTTAGAATTACATGGTGCACAGCTACAGTAGACAAGAGAGCAGCAAACACCAAGGGGAACCAGCTCCACCGTCTGTTTCAACATCGTTGAAGTCTACAGAAAAGTAACTTTCCTGCTGGCAGCCCAGGGATGCCAATCTTCCGTCTTCTGGGCCATCTTTGGTTCTTTTTCTCCCTCACTGAAAGCAGGTATGTTAAGGGTATGTTAAGGGTATATTGCCTAGTGAGCAATGTGCCAGTCATACAAGGCCATGTTCCCAGATACGAAATGAGTCTCGGAATAAATATCCTACTATGCTGAGTAAATGTCTTACTCTTCTGTTGCTGATATGTAGTCACTGAACCTGGGGCTGGGACTGCATGTTTGCCATCTCCAACACGCCAGAGTGGAATTATAAGTCATAATTGCTGTAGGTTGGGGTGGGTGCTTCAGAAATCAGTTTTCCTTTGTTTCCTGTGTGAAGATGATGGAGTTTGGTGTCAAGCCCACTCTGCTGGATGGAATACAACATGGGTCACTTAACAGGACACTTTCAGAGCAATGAACTAGGTTTGTGAAACAAACACCATTGGGCAAATGTCACAGGGTGGTAGCTCCATTATCAAGTGACATTAGACAAACTTGTAAGGGACCACTGACACCTATGCAGGTCTCCCATGGACTGTGAGTGTCATTGTGTAACTCATGACCATGCTTTCTCTTCCATGGAGGTTTGTGCTCATCAAGGTGTTTAAACATTAGAAACCTGCACGGCTTCATCTACAGATGGAGCTGTGGATACCATCAGCAGTTTGTCGGGTTTTAGAGAAATGACTGCCAGACATATCTGGGTACTCTTGAAACTTTGCTCCAGGAGCCTCCACAGACACCAAAAACTGTGGAGGTTAATTCTGCTCATACAAAATGGTATAGAGTTTGCACAGCAGCTACATACACCTCCCTGTGTAATCTAACCACACCTAGGCTGCTGCAATGCAGTGTACATAGCTGTCACACTGTGTGGCTTAGGGAACAATGACAAGGGCAGATGTAATTCTGCTCAGTTATTTTCCATCTGTAGCCAACTGAATCCTCAGATACAGAACTTGCAGGTCCAGACGGCCCACTGTGTTTGCAAAGGGCTTTCCCGTGTTCTGCTGTCTGTTTAATAAACATCACCTACTGATTGTGATCATGATGTTGATAAGTGTTGTGTTTAATATCCCTACACTCTCAATTGTGAGTGTGCTGGTCCCTGGCACTTAGCGTGGGACTTGTCACTAACAGCTCTCTGGAGCATCCTTCTCAGTTTCTACAGACTCCAGGTCCTGTTTATGGGGGTGCTTCTTTCACCCCTTGATCTCAGTCCCTATTTGTGTCCGTGAGTCTCCAGGCTGATAGGGACATGGACATTACACCCTTCGCTTTGCTCTTTGCCGACCGTGTGCCTTGGCTCTCATTTTCACCTGGTCTGCTCATCACTGCCACATCCCTTGATTTTGAAGAGAATGTTAAACACTTCAAAAATAAGTCCTTCCTGAAAACAAAACAAAACGTCAATTTTGGTTAATCATCTTTCATTTATGTAAATCTTTTCTTCATTTCTGTTGTGTGTGTGTGTGTGTGTGTGTGTGTGTGTGTGTGTGTGTGTGTGTGTGTCCGTCCCTGTGAGTACAGTACCCAAGAAAGCCAGAAAAGGACATTGGATCCCCTGGGAACTAAAGTTACAGGCAACTGTGAGCTGCCTAATGTGGGGGTGCCGAGAATCAAACTCAGGTCCTCTGCAAAAGCAGCCACTTCTCTTCACCACTGAGCCATCTCTCCAGCCCCATCCTCCATTTCTTAAGGTTTTCCTTTCTAGGTATCACTATCAAATCTTCACAATTGTAAAGACACAACACTGTCCTGAAAACACTAAATTTGAAACCAAATATCAGGCATTAGAGACCTGAAACTTACAACAACTATGGCAACAAAGCGGTTTTCTTAGCCCACGGCCGTTTATGTTTCCCCACTGGGTCTTTAGTCTCTCTCCAAACTGCACCTTCTCAGAGAATCTCCAACCAAGAAAAGCCGCCAAAAAGCCAAGTTCTGCATTCTTGGTGGCTGTGCAGGCTCCTTCCCTGAAGTTGTCAGTGGCCTAAGTCCCCACCTAAAGTACCATACTTGGCACAAACCTCGCTTACGGAGAACGCGTCATCATCACCCATCGCCTACAAGCTACAGAACCTCCTTGCTCTAGTCCAGGTGCTGGGCAGTTGTGGAGTTTGATGATCTTTTCCAGACCCAAGTTATTTAGTTATGTACTAATTACTCTCCCTTGCCGTTACCAAATACAGCATAAGAAGAATCTTATGGAATGAAGGACTTATTTTGGTTCACAATTTGAGGGTGCCATTCATCATGTCAGGGAAGGAATGGGGGAAGGAGTGGGTCTTGGCTGTAGCAGTGACAGTGTGGGTCTGCCTGCTTACATCATTTGGGTCACACGACAGGAAGAAAGAGAAATAGGACAAGAAGTAGGACCACACCCTAACCCCTAAAAACCACCGTTGTGACCATGACTTCTCAAATCTATTGACCTGCTCCCTTTATCTTGGTCCCATCTCCTTTGGTATTCCAGAGCCTCCCCAAACTGCTGCTATGTGGGGCGCAGCTGCTGAAACACGTGCTGCAAGGAACATTTCACACTAGTGAATAACAGCCTGACCAATGTACTACATGAA